TGGGTGTGGAGGGGAAGGGGTTAATGGAAATAAAAAATTGGGGGGGGGGGACATCTGTAATACTTTCAACAATCAAGATAAGTTTTAAAAAATTAGGAAATTTTAATTTATTAGAAACATGTTGCTGTACATCTTAGAATCTTAAGCTGAGAGAAAATTCAAGAGATCATTTCACTCTTTTTCTGAGCTTCTGCGCATTTTTACCTTAAAACTGTGAGAAAGAAAAGGTATCTATTTTGTTGTGAAAGTTCTGGGAAGTAGATCAGATTAGAGTTTCGGTTTTCAGTACAGCTGTGATTAAAATACATCTTTTGTTCTTAAAAGTTTTGTTCTTTCAAAATGTCAGAAATACCTTTCCCCCTCTGAGGAATGCAGATTCTTGTCTCACAGAGTTGTAGGAAGCATTAGATGGAAAAGCTGTATGTAGTGCCCACCAGAGGTCTTCTAAGTTTAACTACACATTCAGACTCAACACCACCACCGGCCACATTTCCTGCCACCAGGGCAGCATCAGGAGTTCCTCTGAGCAGGCATCTTGCAGCAGTTCAAACAAGTGACGGCTCATATACCTGTATGGGGACTGTAGACTGCCCATGTGTATGGTTCTAGATCAGTGATGGCGAACCTATGACACGCGAACTCATTTTTTTGGTTGATTTTTCTTTGTTAAATGGTATTTAAAATAAATATCAAAAATATACGTCTTTGTTTTACTATGGTTGCAAATATCAAAAAATTTCTATATGTGACACGGCACCAGAGTTAAGTTAGGGTTTTTCAAAATGCTGACACGCCGAGCTCAAAAGGTTCGCCTTCACTGTTCTAGATACAAAGGTCAAGATCCATATTATAGTTGCCCACAGAAGACTGCATTCGGGGAAATCCAACGCATGGCATGCTCATCAGATTTTTACAGCTCATTCATATTTCCTACCAGTACAAATGCAAGATACCAAGCAGGGATCGTTTTTTACCATAAGCTGTGTTGCCTAGCAATATAATTCATGTCTACTATCTACTTGGCTCCCAGAGGAACAGACCTAGGTGGTTAAACCAAAGTTCAGATTCTCAAGAAGGCAAGGAAATGATTTGTTAACTCTTTCATCTGAGTATGCAACAGACCCAGCCAGGGACCTCACATATTAAAGTTATCAAAATATGCTTGCTCATTCCTTGAACAAATATTTAAGAGCTTACACTATGTGTCAGGCACTGTGCCCGACATGAGGATGCAGTGGTGAATTAAACAGATGTGGTGCCATCTTCATATTGTTTCCTCCACCCAGTGATGCCCTTAATTTCTTCCATTGCCTAGATAACTCCTATTTATCCTTCAGATGTCAGCTCAGATGTTCGTTCCTTCTTCTCTGAAGTCCATGTATACTCTACCCCTCTAGCACTTTGTACATATTGCCCTGAGTTCATGGATTGGTTTTGTGAATCCATAAATGAATCCTCTAAAGTAATACATCAATTTTGTGTGCATGTGAGAATGTATGTTTGAAGGGGCTATAAAGCTTTCATCAAATTTTCAAGAGAGTTTGAGCTGTCCCCTCCCCCTCCGCCCTATAAGAATTTAGAACAACTACTTTGTTATGCGCATTTATTATATTATGATTTTATTATTTGTTTATAGGTCTGTGTCTCCTACTAGAACATAAGTCCCTTGAGAGAAGAGACTGTATTAATATTTTTGTCAGCAGAATGCCTGGTTCATAGTAGACTTTTAGAAAATGTATGTTGAAAGAATCGTTTCTTAATAATTGTAACAGGTTCAGCAGCTTGAATAATGCTAGTGGAGCATCATTTTCTACTTTGAAAGGGAACGTTTTGCCATATATTAAACTAAAATTAGTCTTTCTTGTTCTCAGCTCTGTCCTCTAGAGTACTAAATTAAATGTCTTCCATATTGTAATTGCCCTTTTATGAGACTCATGGTTGAGTGGGGAATCAAAGAAAAAGGAAATGATTAAAAAATGATACATTTGCATCTTAAATATTTTAATTTAAAACATGCAAATGTACATTAATTTTCTAGTGTTCTATTATGGAACCAATATCTTTCTGTTGAATATGACTCCACTGTTGTGTAGCTTTTTTCACTTAAGCCATCAAAAATTCATCATCTACAACTTCCAGGTTTCCTTAAAGTGAAATGAAAAATTGTTGAAACAATCTGATACCAGGATTTTTCTAGATTTTTTTTCTTTTTCTCCCTCTCCCCAGTGTTCTATAGTTATATATCCTGCATCCTTCCAGTGATTTTCATTACAACTAGCTTTCATCTAGTCTGAAATCTTTAGTTTTTAGAGGAATAGCAACAACACATATTTCTTTGGATTACATGCTATTTAAATTATGTAACTAGTATAGCATGTATAAGTGGCATAAATAGGTCTGTGATCAAACAAAATTGACTTTTATTAAGTACATAGTTCAACAGATAGGAGCGAAGTATGTAAGTAGTCAGCATGCTTTAAGCTTCACAGTGCTCATAGACATTAGAAAGAACTTGTTTCTCTTCTCGGTTTCTCTCAGGATGAATTATTTTGAAATTTTCTCATTATCCTGCTCTCATTTCTTCTCCCCTTAGACGACTGATCATCCTAACTTAGAGTAGAATGGAAGTAAACCATCTTTGGCTTTCCTCCTGGTAAAGTCTCAGCTGTCTGTTGTTGTCCAGCAAATAAATGAAGCTATTAAAGCACACACACACACACACACACACACACACACACACACAACCTGGTAGCTAATATAAGGGACTACTTAATTCTAAGGATGTTCTAAGAATAAAAAATAATGGCAGAGTAGCGCTTAATTTTTCTCCCCTTGAGAGTGGCCTGGACTTTATGACTCACTTCCAAGTGATATAGGAAGAGTATGCAACGGGAGAAATAGTGGCTTTATTTGTGGAGAAACCTAGCAGATACCATCTTAACCAAGTGATCAAGATTAGTATCACCAGGGATAAGTCATGTTGATAAGGTGTACCCTCTGATATGATGTGATGAGAAGTGCACTTTACATCTGGTATGCTTCCCCGGAACCCATAACACCAGTCTAATCTTGAGAAAATATCAGACAAACTCAATTGAGGGAGAGTCTACAAAATACTTGAATGGCAGTTTTTAAAAATCTCAAGGTCCTGAAAAATAAGGGAAGACTGAGAAATTTTCACAGATCAGAGGAGACGAGGGCACCATGATGACTAAATAAATGCAGTGCATTATCATGAATTGGATCCTGGTACAGAAAAAGAGTTCATTAGTGGAAAAACTAGGGAAATCCAGATAAAGTCTGCACTTTGACAAATCTCCCATGGTTATGTAAGATGTTAGCATAAGGGAGAGCTGGCTGAAATGTATATGGGAACTATCTGTACTGGTTTTGTACCTTTTCTGTAAATCTAAAATTACTCCAAAACATTTATTAAAAATAGTGGGCGAGATCATAAAAAACAGGCTTAAGTGATTTGAAATTTAAGACATGAACTAAATTAAAAGGCAATAACACAAAAATATTTGTCACTGATGTTAGACAAAGGACTGATATTCTTAACATAGAATATACTTTTACATATTAATAAGAATAGACTAATACCTCATTGGAAAATAATCATTGATCACAATTCACAGAAGAAACAGTGATCAATAAATATGAAAGCCAATTCAATTACACCAGTAATTAAAGAATTGCCAATTAAAGCAGCATTGGAGCCCTGGCCAGTGTAGCTCAGTTGGTTGGAGTGTCATCCTGTACACCAAAAGGTGGTGGGTTTGATTCCCAGGCAGGGCACATACCTAGGTTGAGGGTTTGATCCCAAGTCAGGGCATGTGCAGGAGGCAACCAGTCAATGTTTCTCACATCAATATTTCTCTCTCGCTCTCGCTCTCGCTCTCTCTCCCTTCTTCCCTCTCTCTCCCTTCCTCCTTCCTTTCCTCTCTCTCTAAAAATAAATAAAAAATTTTTAAAAAAGCAGTATTGAAAACATTTTACCCATTACATGAAAAAAATTATAGTATTCAATTTTGAAGAAGGTAAGTAGAAGAATTATAGATTGGCATAGCCTTTCTGAAAAGCAGTTGGCCAATATAGGTATTGGGTTTAAAAATATGCATACCAGTTGTGGCCGGGTGGCTCAGTTGGTGAAGTGTCATTCTGTACACCAAAAGGCTGCAGGTTCAATTTATGGTCAGGGCACATACCCAGGTTGTGGGTTTGATCCCTGGTCAGGGTGCGTGCGAGAGGCAACCAATTGTGTTTCTCTCTCATATCAATGTTTATCTCTTTCTTCCTCTCTCGAAAGGAAGTGAATTGTGATCAATGATTATTTTCCATTTGTGCTTTTAATCTCACACAAGATTATTTTCCCATAAGAATGTTCACCACAAGATTGTTAATAATGAGAAGCTCAAAACCTAAATATCTAACAATGAGGGAATGATCTAAAAGTTTTGGCATTCCTAGGGAATAGAATGGAGTCATTAAGAATCATGATTATAACTAAATAAAACAACGAAAGCAACATGCAGTTTGTACATATTCTCTGACTTTATATGCATGTACACAGCTTTGTCTCTTGAAAGGGTGGCAAGGAAATATGCCATCTTGTACAAAGCAGTCACTTATCCTTGGGTGGTAAGGAAAGGAAGATTTTTGTTTTCTTTAGATCTCTCTGTCTTTTCAGAATTGTCTGTAGTGAGTTGTATGTACTTGTATAATGTAGAGGGAGAGATAAACACTGCGGACAATGTGATTAATGAGGGGTTTTCCATCTTTCATGCTGACTTAATTAAGCAACTGTCACATTTCTATTTGGTTCTGTAAAAAATAGTTTTCCTCTTTCCACTAGGAAGCTCCTCAGGGTGCTCCCGTTGCCGATGGAAAACTGGGGAGCTCTAGTTGGAGAATGGTGTTGCCATGCGGACCCCTTTGCTAATAAGCCCCTTCATCCTCGAGAGAACGACTGTCTTATTGGAGACGCTTTCTACTTGGTGAATTTAAGAAGTGATACGTGGCAGCCAAGTCCTCAAGTAGCTCCAGGGGAGATGCACTGTCCGTCTTCCGAGAACCATTTTAAATCGGTAAAATACCTTTTCAGAATACTTGGTGCTAATTTAGAGGTTGGCTTAGAAACTGGCTTCTCCCATCTTTTCTTAATTCAGGGTATGTCACACAGACTGTTCTAAAGACCGAAACAGCCTACAGGGGCTGAAGGACGGAGGGGAGAGAATTTCTTCATGTCTAGAATTGGGAATGTTACCATTTTACAAACCCAAGTGCCCTACTTACTTTCTTGTTTTGAGGACGATATTCCATAATCCATGTACGTTTTATCCTCATCAGTCTGATTTAAATTAAAATTGTTCTCTTGCTCAAGCATAGCTACTACAGTTAGGTTCATAGTCTAGACTTCTGCTCACGTCATAAAAGCAGATGCCAGGGAAAAGAGGACATGCCGGAGCCCAAGCGTGGAAATGAAGCTTGTGCTGCAGGCTCTCCTGGTGGTTGACAGCATGAGGTCAGGTGGCTCTTGCTCTCCAAGTTGCTTTAGGGAGAAGGCAATTTCCTCTCACCGCAGAGAACAAGTGGTTTACCTTATTTTAAAAGAAAATCAATGGCATTGACTTGGTCCTGTGAGAAATCATTCTCCTGATGGCAAGTCAATACAGATGTGATTGAAAAGGCAAAGAACATCATTGCCAGAGAATTTTTATCTTAACATCTGCTTATTGGTAGGGACAAAGGCCATGTATGTTCAGTTTCATCTAGAGCTCATTTAATTTTTGTAATGAGAACTGGGCCACTTCAGGAAATTTGCAGCAGCTGGGCAGCTCTTGGGTTGCAAGTTAGTTTATAGAACTATTTTCTATTTTGAGGGGGATTAAGGAAGTTCCTCAAATAACAAGGTTAAGTTGTTATAATTATTTACATGTCTCATCTCTCACCGTAACACAGATCCCTTTACCTAAATATGGTTCGTTTTAAATTATAGTATGTTATTCTATAATGTTAAAAGATAAATGGTAAGAAGTTAATGTAAATCTGTTATAATTATGTTTAATATGGTTTTATTAAAACATTTTATACTAAATTTATATACTAATACTATACTATTTTATGTATTTTAACTTTGATTTTTATGATTAAGCTATAAATTTTTTTAAAATGTTTGGATTTGCAGCAGCTGGGCAGCTCTTGGGTTGCAAGTTAGTTTATAGAACTATTTTCTATTTTGAGGGGGATTAAGGAAGTTCCTCAAATAACAAGGTTAAGTTGTTATAATTATTTACATGTCTCATCTCTCACCGTAACACAGATCCCTTTACCTAAATATGGTTCGTTTTAAATTATAGTATGTTATTCTATAATGTTAAAAGATAAATGGTAAGAAGTTAATGTAAATCTGTTATAATTATGTTTAATATGGTTTTATTAAAACATTTTATACTAAATTTATATACTAATACTATACTATTTTATGTATTTTAACTTTGATTTTTATGATTAAGCTATAAATTTTTTTAAAATGTTTGGAGGCATGAGTGGAAGTGGAGTGAAGATTAAGAGAAACCATGAATTACACTTTTTTAGATAAATTCTACACTATTGACATATATTCTTCGCATTTATATCTTTATCAGTTACAGGATGCCACTTACAACAATTTCTCTTAATTGCGAACAACTATACTGTTTGTTAAAGGAAGACCCTCCTTATTCAAACACTATGGTTTTTAGTATCAAGGAGACTGGGAAATTACTATCATGACAAGCTACTGTTGGCAAGATTGTTTTCAAGGTAGCCTGGATGGAAGTTTCACTTTAATTGCATATTGCAGCAGTCCAAAGTGTATGCCCGTGACCAAAATAGTAACATAAATTTAGAGGGACTGCTTAAACAGTGCTCTCAAGGCTCCTGTGGGAACAAGGCTGCTCTGCGCTGTTGAAAACCTGTTTCTCATACCACCCAGTCTAGCCATCCAGCAGGGTTTTGAAATGTCACACGTTGACACAGCATCCTAATGGTATCTCTTGGGAAACGTTTTTTTGTGTGTGTTTTTTTGGCAAGACAACATCAAGGGTCCTTAGAAATGGAAACAACACAAAGGAAAATAAAAACGGGGACAGGAGTCTAATCCCCTCTGAGCAGCAGTGCCATCTCTCAGATATATTGATTTAATTAGTCACAACAGTGTCTCTGATGTTTGCTCTGTAGAGTTCCCACACTATTAGGCTGTTTCCTTGCACAACTTGCTTTAGTCTTTCCTTTAAGCACAGGTTAAGAACAATATATTACAAAGCAGAGTTTCTCTTTAAATAAGATTAAAAGTATTATAATATTTTAATTAAAAAGATCTGATTTTTAAAACAGTGTAAACACGCACATATAATGTCCATCATATTTCTTTCCTTCAGTATCCCCATACAGTGTACAGTTTGTTGTTCGTGCCTGTGTTAGCATGGCAGTGATATATACCTTTTGTTTTCAAAAGATACCTGCTGAGATTTTCCTGTTTTTGCACTTGTGTGTTATCTCTTGTGCTATATTTTCATGTCTACCAGCATAGAAGCTTTGCGTCTTTTAATAGAGTGGTAAGGATGGCACCCCAACCATTTTGTAAGATTCATAAAATTATTCTCAAAAGTATGGCCACATATACGACTTCACCATATTTTTTTAAAGAACAAATTAAATTGAACTTCAGTTATATTATAGACTAGAAGCCCGGTGCATGAAATTTTGTGCACTTGGGGGTGGGGGGGTGTCCCTCAGCCTGACCTGCACCCTCTTGCAGTCTGGGACCCCTTGGGGGATGTCGGACTGCTCATCCCTCTTGCAGTCCGGGACCCCTCTCTCCTTACCACCCGCCTGCAGCAGAGGCGGGAGAGGCTCCTGCCACCACCACTGCACTCACCATCTATGAGCCTGGCTTCTGGCTGAGCAGCGCTACCCCTCTAGGAGCGCACTGACCACCAGGGGGCAGCTCCTGCATTGAGCGTCTGCCCCCTGGTGGTCAGTGCACGTCATAGCAACCAGTTGTTCTGTGTTTGGTCGATTTGCATATAAGGGTTTTATTATATAGGATGGCAAGTGTGACAACCAGCTTTACCTTTTTTCCTTTCCTGGGGTACTTATCAATTATTTATTGATTTGGGTAATGTGTTTTGTTAAATACATGAAGATGTCCTTTTTTATTTTCTTAGAATGATGTGTTGGACTTTGTAAACATTCACCAATGTAAACAGAACAGAATTCTAAACTTCAGTATACCAATTGACTTGATTCACAAAGTATTCTTTACCTGTCCCTTTTATTATTATTTTATGTGTGTACTTTAAAGCAAATCCAAGACATTATGTCATTTGATTCTTATGTGGGTGTTTCTTTTTTACATAACCACAGTGTCATTTTCACATCTGACAAAATTAACAGTGATTACTTATGATACAATATAGGCTGTATACAAATTTTCCCAATTGTATTAAAAGTATATTTCACTGTCACACATTTGGTTGTTTGAGGTCATTTGCTTTTTATTGATCATATTATAAAATCCTGATTACTATGTCTTAAAAAGATAGAATCTTATTTTAAGAACATACCAACAAAACCCATTTTTCCTACTTCATTGAAAGACAAAGCGAAGTGTGCTATAAATAAATAAAATACATAACAGAGTACCTGATGAAAAAATTTCCATTTCCAATAGAAAAATCCCTTCTCAAACATTGCTACTCCAACACCCTATATTAATTTTTAGTAAAGTCCTTAGTTTTAGGCAAGGCTTAATTGGGATGGTCTGACTTAACTTGTACCAAGTAGGACTCTTTATAAAGTATCTTTAATACCACTTTGAAGCCATACAGATAGATTTTACTGTAAGAAAGCATGAGACTGCCAAAATGTCAAACTTTACAATTGAACATACTGGTTTCTGAACTGTCTTCCTGTAACCTTGCCTGAACCTGAACAAAGTGGCTCCTGCCTTGGTTTCTACATCTGTGGCTTTGGACTTTTTTTGATCTCTCACTAAACTCAGAAATACATTTTTTACATTAAGATTCGACTACACACACACCCCTCAAGTAAAAGGGTCTTGAAGCAGTACTTACCTTATGTTTGAAGCACTGTCATATTTTAATTCATCCTGTAACCCATTGAATTGATTCCATGAATTGATTTGGAAAATAGTTGGCATAGTGATTACAAGCATAAGCTTTAGCATCTAGGGGACCAAGATTCAAATGTCAACCAAGATCAGGTACTAGCAGCACATCCATGGAACTCAGTTTAAATGTGCTTTGTGTACAGTTTTTTAGGAAACATTTATGTCATGGGAAATATAATTCTACTTCCTTATACTAATCTGTTAAGACTTATTCCTTAGATTACTACATATGTTATCCCACATCAGAAAGTCACTATTTCCTCACTTAGACCCGCATTCTATTCTGGGACTTCCCAAGGGGATGACCTCAGGTGGCCAGAGTTGCAGAAACGTCTTCTCCCTGCCCACTTTTATGTGACTTCTGCCATTTAGCAGTATATCTGGGTGAGACAAATAGTGTGTGGCTTTAACACAGGTATTACTATGGATGTGAAAAGGGCTTGCTTTCATTTTTTCTTTTTAAGATTCTTAATTAATATATAGTGGCTGCCTAGTAAAGGGCGAAAAAGCAGTCCCTTGTGGGAGGGTATGGGTTTTCTGCCCATTTCTGGAATGATTTGTGCCAATAGTATATTTATGTAACATCCATCTTAGTAGTACCATGTACCCAGGACAGTGCTTTATAACACTCTTTTCTAAATCCTAATAAACAACTGTGAATTAAAGACAACTATTAAGTCCATTTCACAGATAAGGAAACCAACACAGGATAGTTAACTTGCCCAAGGTCACAAGTCTAGTAAATAACAGAGTTGGGATTTGAACTTAGGAAGTCTGGCCCCAGACTCTGAGCTTTTAACCACTTTGCTATTGCTTATAACATAACTTCTACAACAAACCACAAATTAGGAAGATTTTTTTTAAATTGAGGTATAATTGACATATAACATATTACTTTCAGGTATACTATATAAGGATTTGCTATTTGTACATACTGCAAAAATGGTCATCACAATAATTCTAGTTAACATTTATCACCTTACAGTTACATTTGTTTTTCTTGTGATGAATACTTATAAGATTCACTCTCAGTAACTTTCAAATATGAAATATAGTTTTATTAATTATAGTTGCCATGCTGTACAATACATCCCAGGACTTCTTTATTATATTTATTTAAAATTTATTTATTTTTACCTATTTTGACCTGCGCGCGGGCGCGCGCGCACACACACACACACACACACACACACACACACACACACACACCCAACCTCACCTCTGGTAACTACCATCTATTCTCTGTGTCATACAGAGCATTTTTTGTTTGCTTAATGATTAGGTGAATGCTAGCTATTTTAATCTGTATCCCAAATGATGAGTATGGATTTTTGAAGTTTAAGAATGTTTCAGGAATTTGTCCCAGAACACTAGCTATCTTTTCTGTTCTGATGCATATGTTAACTGGAAAAATAAAATTATATGAATGGGTTAGATATTTTTAGCTTCTGATGGGTGGTTATGAATTATAGATTACTTTAACACAAGCTACACTGGAGTAGGAGTCAAAATAATGAGTTCAAGTTCTGATTCTTCTGTTTTCTAGACACATGAGTTGAGGCAAGTCACCTACCCTCTCTGCCCTTGTTGCCCACCATGTGCCAATTCTAAATGATTGGGATATTTGCAGGTGCTTTTTAGCAATGTAAAGCTCTCCTTATTCAAATTGTCTGGCAACATTTAGATTATCAAGAAGTGGGTAGGTTTGGAAAAATCATTCGGCTCACTATTCTGTCTTTAGACTTGAAAAAAATTATGTCTGTGTATGTGAGTTATGCATACAAGCTAAATGTATTCCCAGTATTTAGGAGAGGGCAAAATAAAATGTAAAGTTCAATGTATACCCTAGAGACTATGTTAAAATTATATGTTCCTTTTAAGAAAAGCAGAATGACATTTAAATGACATTTTTCTGTTCTACAGAAACCAAAGGCAAATACCAAAGTAATTTGTAAGCGTTGCAAGGTAATGTTGGGAGAGACCATGTCATCAGGTAAGAAAAAGCCAAAATGACTGCCTTTTTGTTAAAAAGCCTATAAAATACACTGGAGTAGGAGTCAAAATAGGTTTTATAGGAAATATGTATGAAAGAGAGATGACTAATATATGTTATAGAATTTATACTTTATTTATTTATTTATTTTAGAATTTATACTTTTAAAAATAGAAATCAACTAACATCCAATAGGCTAAGAACTTTGTGTATTTTGACCTTTATAACTACATGGTATTGAATTTTAAGCATTAAGAAGTAGGGTCATTTGTAATATTCATATTCTCTGTAGATATAAAGCAATTATATAAACTTTGTAGTTGGGTCTGTCTTAAAGAAGATTGGAGATTTTTTCTTAACACAATTCCTCAATCAGAAGAGTTGGTTGCCAGAGATGATGGAAAAGTTGCTTGTCTTGGCTGCCCTCTGCCTCAGGGATGTATTTTGGGGCTAAGGATGGGAGAGAACTTTTTGAAATGGAAGAAAATACATTCTGAGTTTTGTGCTTTGCTCCTTATTCTTCCCAATAATGTTAATTATATTTTATATAAAGTCTATGTTATACTGCTTTGAAATGTAATAATGAAAATCCCAGTAATTAAAATGTATACTATTTAAAGATATAGTTTAAAAATATCTACAGCTACAACATGCTGTGGTAGCTTTGTGGGAGATGAATAATTGTTTTTAATATAATCGGAATCTTGTAAGTAGTTACTTCCTTGGAGTGAACAGAAAGGGAAGAATGAGCAGCAGTAGAGGATGTAGTCCTCGTCACTGTTATTTTTGGAGAATGAAAGCAAGCCCCTTAAGCAACAACTTAGAAAATTTAAGTTAGATAAAATGAATTATTTTTTTAAATTCTTTTCACTCCTCCCTGAAGTCTAGTCAAAATGTATGTTGAGTAATTAAAAAGATATACATGCGCAGTGACAAAGAAATAGAGAGGACATAGCAGTGATGTAAACAAGAGATGTAGGCAAACTTTTTTCGAAGCTATAAAGCTGAGAGAGACCCTTGGGAACAAACTTGGCAATGTGGGGAGAGCCACAGCCTAAGTGTCTGCAGAAGGTTATTTGGGTGAGAAGTGAGCCAGTATTCATTGTAGAACCCCAGAACTGGTTACAATTTGGGGGCAGCAGGAACAGGGAAGGCAGTCTGAGACAAAGAGCTGGAAGCAGGATGATTGATATAGTTGATATTGGGAGCTCCTGTTTCTCCTTCTCCCCTTGCAACTTGCTTATACTTTCAAGCTAGGAGATTGGAGAACCCTTTCTTGAAGTAATGGAAGAGTACCAGTCAGAGAAAAGATTTGGAGACTGTTACGGCCAAAGGTGATCCTGAGTGGGGGGGTGAAAGGATTGAGAAAAGACAGACAAGAGAATGAAAACTGGGTCGTGGGACACTACTGCTCCCTGATGAGGAGACAGCGCCAGCGCCCACAGCCGTGTCTTTATTTTATAGCAGATGCCACGAGGCAAAGTAGGGGCGTGATCAAGTTGTTTACAGCATTCTCGTGAGTTTCAACCTCACTTAACTACATGCACCTGAACTCTAGCACAAGGCACGTGGGGCCACGTGTTTGGACCATAGGTCCAAGCTTACAACTATAGCTGTTGGCTATAATTGTGCTGGGAGGGCCCTGCCCTCCAGCTGGGACTTGCACGTGGCAATGAGAGGACCCTGTCCTTGCATTAGTCCGAGGCTTGAACCTGGTCAAAACACTGTAGTTGCGCCCCACAGGAGACACAGATTCTTAGGGATCATTCAACAAAATTGAGCTTATATTCAACTATCCTACAATCAACAAGCCTTATACCTACACCCAAAAGCTTTCCCTTAGCATTTTATTACCTTACACTTAAATATGAATGGATTGCTGACAATCAACAGATATTTGAGGGAAATTCCAACATGAAAGAGACCAAAGCAAATAAATAATCAAGTTAGCATAGCAAAGGCACTGAGAAGAAACAAATTATGTATACAATAGAAGAAAATCTTTTCAAAAGCATAATAAATGTCCTTGGAGAATGAAATAATACTACCTCCATAATGTGGAGAATATAGAATTAAAGGTGTAATGACTTAAAAAACTAACCAAAGGACTGGACGATAAAATTAAGGCGCTAACTTAGAAATCAGAAACAATTGACAGAGACTGAAAATTGGGAAAGGAAGTATTAAAAAAAATCATCACGTAAGTTTCTGGAGGATAAGGATATTGTCTCTCTCATTTATCATGTAATCCCAGCACTTAGAACATCTGGCACATGATGGGTATCTAGTAATATTTGTTGAATGAATGAATGCACTGAGCCTTTTAGGACATCTAACATCTAGATAATGGGAATTCTAGAAAAAGAGAATGGAGACAATAGAGTGTAGGGAATTATCAAAGGACAAAAAATATATCACAAGGCTATTTTCCAGAGCAAGGGCTTAAGTTTGTTAATAGAAAGGGCCCACTAAGTGTCAAGTATAATTAATGGAGGAATAGCAGGGAAGCTACTCCAAGCCACATCATTGAGTAATTTCTGAACACCAAGGATGAAGTCTCCAGAGAGAAACAAAAGGAGGTAGTTGGGCAAGGACTAGGAATTAGAACTTCACAGCAGTGTTGAAAGCTAAAAGACAATGAAGCAATACCTTCATAATTTAGAAGCAAAAAGATATTTAACCCAGAATACTATACACAGACAAACCATGAATCAAGTATGAAGATAACAAATACATTTCTGGAAATAACATGATTTTAAAATATAGATCGCAAAGGTATATTTTCCTTAGGAATCTAGCATAGGATATTTATCACCAAAACTAGGGATTCAGTCTGAAGAGAGAGGACAATGGATTTAGGAAACAGATTATCTAACACAGGAGAGCAAGATAAAGAAGTCTCAGGATGAGGGATGTGCAGCGGGCCTAGAGAATAACAGCCTGGGGTGAATCAGGAGGAGAGAAGATTGCAGTAAAGGCGTTTTCAGTTGTAAGGTGAAACTTATAAATTTTTTTATTTGTTTGATCACATGAAATAAATAATCTTGAGACAAATCACTTCATCACATGGGAAGAATTAGCTAAAGGTGCTCGGAAAATTAAACACATGGAAAAGAAAGCAATTATGCACTGCAGGAAAACAGAAGACTAAACAAGAAAGGAAACATTGCCATTGTATCATCATGATCTCCATAGTGTAAACACTGAATATTGATTTGACCAAAAATCTTTATGATGTAATATATAAGTATATTTGGGGGTCAATATATGTTAAGGGTGTGTGAGGTGATGTAAGAGAGATAGATTCACCTCTACTTTGAAAGTAAATTAGTAGGACTCCACTTTCAAAAACAGTGCTATAAAGAATAGTTCCATTCTGTAGAAAACAAATACAGGACTGTACAAGTTCAAAAAATTAAGAACAATCGCTGGAAGACCAGAATGAAGCAGTGATTTGAAGAATGATTTAGTTATGAGAAACTGCTATTGCTTTTGCTTAGAATGGCAAATTTGTACCCTTGTCTCTTGGGGGCATTGCCATGCTCCCTGCCTCAACTTGGGCAGGAAGCACTCAGCTTTATTGTTTACAGGTGGTAATTTTGGTTGAGGGAGAAACTGGAAATTAAAGAGGAAAAATTTGGGAGCATCAGGGCCATAGAAGGGCTGAGATGTTACCTTCTTCGCACAACTCTGGCTGACTGCTAAACTATACGTGCATGCAGTAGATGCAGAAAGTTCAGTAAGAATTGAAAGCTTGGGGAGACCGGCAAATTTGCTGTACCTTGGATTGCATTCTTCAATCCACATACAACTTGAGCAGCGGAAGGTGAGAGCCTTACTGGCTTGAGGTGTTTGAGCAGAACTTCTTCCCAAATTTGCTGACAGCTAAACGATACAAGTACAGTAAATACTCTCTAGTGAACCGGCCAAACAAAACTGAGCAGAGTCATAAGAGGCTACACACTGTGGAAAGACATATTTCACAGTTTGAGTCCGGGCTATATCTATAAACCAGTAACCCTTAAGAGAGCAAAAGACAATCTAGAATTGATACAATGTATTTCATATGATGTCTTAATTCCATCTAGAAATTGTAGGCAAAGAGATAGAACAGAGTGATTCATACTCAAGGAAAAAAACAGAATTCAATAAACAGGTGCAGAGTAAGCACAAACATTAGATTTAGCAGACAAAGGTATTGAGCAGCTATTATAAATATGGCAAAGAATTTTAAAAAGCCTCTTGAGTGAACAAAGGGCAAATCTCAACAAAATGGAAACTTAAAAGAAAGAACCAGTTGATAATTGCAGAGCTGACAATTATAGTAACTGTAAAATCATTGGATTAGCTAAGCCACATATTTGAGATGACAGAAGGAAAAAAATCACTGAAGTAGATTAATAGAAATTAATCAACCCAAAGAACAGAAAGAAAAAAGTCTAAAGCATAATGAATAGAACCTCAGAGATTCGTGGTATAATCTTAAGTTTTTCAATAAATGTGTAATTGGAGTCTCAGAAGGTGAGGAGAAAAACAAAGGTCAGGAAAAAAATTATAGGAAAAAATGGCTGAAATATTGGCAAATTTGCTGAAAAATATTAACTTTCAGATCCAAGTACTGTAATGAATCTCAAATAGAATAAACAAAAAAGAACACTTTACCCAGGCACATAATCAAACTGATAAAACCTAAAAGTGAAAAGCCCTGCCAGTGTGGCTCAGTGTTTGAGCATTGATCTATGAACCAGGAGGTCACAGTTCAATTCCCGGTCAGGGCACATGCCTGGGTTGTGGGCTCGATCCCCATTGTGGGGCATGCAGGAGGCAGCCAATTGATGATTCTCTTTCATCACTGATATTTCTATCTCTCCTTACCTGAAATAAGAAATACATATTAAGAAAAAACTAAAGATGCAAAGAGAATATTCAAAGTAGCAAGAGCAAAACCAAATATCACATATAGGAATTTCAGGATATAATTGAGGCTGGCTTATAGAAATAATGACAGCCAGAAGACACTAAAATGAGATATTCAAAATGCTAGGAAGAGGGAACACCTGTCAACTAACAATTCTATACCCAGCAAAATTGTCTTTTGAAAAGGAAGGCACAATGAGGACATTTTTATATAAACAGATGGAAATAATGTATTACTAGCAGATCTTCTCTACAGAATATTCTTAGGAAAGTTATTCAGGCTAAAGTAAAAGATACCAGTGGTAATTGGAATCCACAGGAAGGAATGAGGAGCAAGATAAATGGAAATTTTGTGGAAATTACCACAAAAGCAAACTCAAAAGAGTTTAGCACAAAATCGAAGCCACCTTTTCCCTGCAATTTGCCAGTTCTCTAAAATTAGAACTTTTATTTTGGTTGCTTTGGGAAGTAAGGATAGAAATCAAAGACTATACAAGATGGGAACCTAGTAGGTGCCTATATAAAAATATGAGATGCTGAAGAGTCATATCTTAATAGTGAAGGTGAATCAAAAGCATATCAGCTCTATGGAATTACAGACAAGTATCAATCCTTTGGGACTTTAGGATATTTCAGGTCTTGAACTTGGTTATTCTGCTTTATACAGACATAACACTGTGCGCCTGGCAAAATCAAATCACTTATGGAGGAAGGTATCTTCACTGTAAAACTTATATTATTCTCACAAAATCTGTCAAGTGCAGTGTTCACTATATAACCAAACATAAATAAGCAAACAAGTAAATTATTATTTGTTCCATCAATAAGAACAAAAACAGCAAACAATAGAAACAGACTTCTGTTACTGGAATTTTCAGATGTAAACTGTAAAACAGCCATGTTGACTATATTTAACAATATAAAAGGCAGACTTGATCTCAAAAGGAAAAGGAAACTACATTTGGAAAAGATTCACAATAGAATTTTAAAAAAATATATAAAAATAAAAAATATTTATACATAACATATATATATGTGTGTGTGTGTGTGTGTGTGTGTGTGTGTGTGTTATAATTGAGTTCTTGCTGGTGTGGCTTAGTTGGTTGAGCATTGTCCAGTGCACCAAAAGGTCACCAGTTCCATTCCCAGTCAGGGCACTTGTCCAGGTTGTGGATTCAGTCACTGCTCAGGGTACCTATAGGAGGTAACCAATTGATGTTTCTCTTTCACATCAGCATTTCTCTTTCTTTCTCCCCTTTTCCCTTCCTCTCTCTAAAATCAATAAACAAATTTAAAAGTAATAATAATAAATTATAATTGAAATGTAAAATTCAGTGAGTGGTTTAATGGCAGAGTAGGTACAATTTGGACAAAGCATTAATGAACATAAGATACCTAAGCAAAAAAAAAAAATCTGTAATCTGACACAGAGACAAGAAGGTATATAGGAGAGAGTAAGGGACATAAATTATACTCTGAGAAGATCTAACGCATGTTTAACCAAACTTCTAGAAAGAAAAGAGAAGTAGAATGGAACATAGGCAATATGTAAAGAGATAATTGCGGACAATTTTATAAAACATGGAGAACAAAAATCTGCAGATTCAAAAAGTCCAGTGAATTCTAATGATATGAGGCCCAAGAAAGATAAATTAAAACAAATTCATAGCTAGACACAGTGACACTAGAAAAAAATAAAAAGCAAAGAGAAAATCTTAAAAACAACCAAAGAGAAATGACAGATCACCTTCAAAGGAACAGTAGTAATGGACGTTTGAAGAGAATGGAATGATAGTGTCAGTGTGACCATAGGTCAAAAACAGTTAACCTAAGATTTCATGTCAGGTGAAAATATCCTGATATGAAAGAATCAAGACAAAGATAAATATATTTTCTGACAAATAAAAACTGAGATATTTCACCTCTAGTGGTTTGGTTTCTTATTAAAAGAAATTTTACCTATAGAAGAAAGTGATCCCAGATAGATGGTCTAAATTCAAGAAGGGTTGGTAAAAACGTGATAAATATGTGGGTGACACTAAATTAATATTAACTGTATAAAACAACATTAATAATAATAACCTGTGGGATTAAAATTATAGAGTTAAATTATTTTAACAGCAGCTGGGGTAAAAGGGATCACTTCATAAAATTAAAAGGTTCAGTTCTTCATTTAATAAAATGACTTCAAAATAGTAAAGTGAAAATGAACTTCAAAGAAAAATTCATTATGGCTCTAGATATATAATAATCTATTAAACAGTATTGATTTTTTTGGCCTTTTTCTGTATTGGGCAATTGAAAACATTTTTAGAAAATATATTAGGAACAAATTTTATCTTATAAAAACAAAAATTATTTGGTACATTATTTTTAATGACTAAATAGAATTCTTGTCCCTAAATGTATAATTGTTTATTTAACCCAACCATCCTTAATTTTTAGACATTTAATTTTTCAATATTTTTCTATTATGAGCATCATTATATGGATACTTTTTTGGAGATACCTATGAGTATTCCTTTGAGATAAATTCTTATGGTATCAAAATATATACACATTTTTAAGGCCTTTGACAAGTGGCTTTTCAGAAATATATAATTTTCAATTCTGACAACAGTCTGCGAATGTGTACCCATTTCTCTATGTGTTCATTAGTGCTGCACCTTATCATTAAAATTATTTTATTTATTTGATGCAAAAATAATTTTATTTTAATTTGTATTTCCTTCATTACCAGTGAGAGTACATCTTTTTCATGGATTTTTAAATAATACAAAATGGTTGTGTTTATATTTATTTCTATGAGATATTTAGTTTACTGTTTAAATTTTTCTGTAAACTAAGTAATCAGATAACCAGATTTGATGGGAATTGTACTTTTATAAACTCAGTGAAATTTTGGGTAAATACTAATGTAAGGTTCACAGCGTCTGTGCAAGGGCTTTAGGTACTATGACTAAAAAGCCTTTTTCAGTGACTTCTAGGTTTGTAGCTACTCTGTAGAAATGCAGAAACCAAGCGACTAGTTTCTAGATAATAGGCCACAGCTGTGTGACTAATTTTTATAATCTTCCACATGTGTGAGCAGAGTCTTGCTACATCAGATGCACTTGGAACATGCTCTTCTGAAGTGACACCAAGCTGTCTGAAGTATCAGGGCTGTCTCCTTGTAGTCATCAAGGCTTTATCTTCTTAAACTCAGTCACTTTTTAAAAACTTTTACAGAATTTTAATTTTACCAGTATATCTACTATTTAGTTTGAATGTCATAATTTGGGACCAACATGCCCACAATAAAAATATTAGTGTGTTGGGGAGATTTTTTATGTTCTATTTTTTCTTTCTAGAAACCATTAAGTTTTATATGACAGAGGTGATTATGCAGCCATCTGAGAGAAATTTTCCCATCATACCAAGGTACAATAGCAACTTATATTTATTCTGTAATTTCAAATGTAGGAAAAGATAGGTACAATGGATTACTTGGGAATTCATTTTTATTTATACTTCTCTTTATTTGGAAAGGTTAGTTGGACCAAACCACACTTGTAAAAGACTTGAGGATTTATTTATGGTTTGCTTACATGATGTTATAGACAAATGTGCTCATATAAATCTAATTCAGATTTTTTGTTTCTTTCTATATGCCAGATATCCAAGGTCTTATAACCTAACCATCAATAAGTTTTTGAATAATTATTTTTGGGTATAATTTGATGTACTTAAAATTTGAGACATGGTTCAGTTTCCTAATGTTTTGTGTGTGTGTTTTTTTAAGTGGTACTTAGCCACTAAATCCATTAGTGTTTCTTTTCTTCGAATTGTTTTAGTTTGCAAACAAAAGTTAACTATAGTATATATGTCTTTATTTTAGTGCATTATTGATGTCTAATGATTTTGGCAATCTAAATATAACCCTAAACTTTATTCTCCTATAAATGCTTTCTTAGGTACCTAAGATCTGATACTTTAGCAGTGGTTCTCAACCTTCTGGCCCTTTAAATACAGTTCCTCATGTTGTGACCCAACCATAAAATTATTTTTGTTGCTACTTTATAACTGTAATGTTGCTACTGTTATGAATCGTAATGTAAATATCTGATATGCAGGATGGTCTTAGGCGACCCCTCTGAAAGGGTCATTCGACCGCCAAAGGGGTCGTGATCCACAGGTTGAGAACCACTGCTTTAGGGGATCCAAATGAAAATATTGTAGATAATGCTGCCTAATGTTTGGGAGGAAATGTTTTGCCTTTTTAAACTTAGTTATTCACTGTTTAATGTGCAGCACAAGTGGAACATTGACTTGTCTGACATACTTTGTTTTTGTTATGTTAATTCTCACCTGATGATATTTTTCCCATTGCTTTTCACAGGGAGGGAGAGGGAGACAGAGAAAGAGAGTGAAACATCAATGTGAGAGAGACACATCCACTGGCTGCCTCCCAAATGTGCCCCAACTAGGGGTAGGGGGCAGAATCCACAACAGAAGTATGCACCCTTGACCGGGAGTCAAACCGACGACCCTTCAGTGTGCAGGCTGACACTCTAACCACTGAGCCACCAGCCAGGGCTGACATACTGTTTTTTATTCAGTTAGGTTTGGGGTGGCAAATGTATTAAGGATTGGAGAATAGGATATAAGAAGACTAGAGCAAATACATTAAAATATATTAAAATCCACATTAGCACAGGTTGTGAGGGAAGGGGTGGCATATAGAAGAATCTGGCATGCACATGCCTCTGTCTTTTAGGTACCCTGTGGGTATTTTTGGCTCATCTTGCCATTTAGAGTTATTATGAGAGACACATTGTGAAAATTTATTTCTGTTCAAACAGGTCTCAGTTTGTACAGAGCACTGTCGCTCAGTGCCTAGTGGAACTCTCCTCTGCTAGAAGCACTTTTAGATTCAGTGTTCAAGGTCATGACAGCAAACCGTACATCTTGGTAAGAAATTATTTCACTCAGCTTTTTGTCACCCTAGTAACACAGGGTCTCAGTAATTCTTTAGTTTTTGTCATTCTTTTTTCTTAATTCTCAGGTCTAGAAAACAGTTGATTTAAAAAACAAAGAATTTTTAATGTCAGCTTCATTTGAATATCAGTTTAATTCACAAATAGAACTCCCTTAACTTAGTAACAAATGATCAAATGCTTCTATGTGCTAGATACTAGGGATATAGAAAGAAATACAACCTGATTCCTGCTCTGTAGAAGCTCATAACACAAAACAAAGTTTTCACTCAGGTTTTAATGGTTTTTCTTGGTCAGTATAACAGAATTCTGTTTCTTTTTTTTTTCTACTTGATACTCTTATGAATTTTTTTGTTTGTTTCGTGGTAAGAAAACTTAACGAGACCTACCCACTTCACAGATTTCTTTTAAGTATGTTTTTATTGATTTCAGAGAGATGCAGGGAGCGAGAGAGAGAGAAGAGAGAACCATGGATGAGAGAGAAACATCCATCAGCTGCCTCCTGCACATCCCCTACTGGGGATTGAGCCCGCAGCCCGGGCATGTGCCCTGACTGGTAATTCAATCAGCCACTCCTGGTGCATGGGATGACGCTCAAACAACTGAGCTACACCAGCTGGGACACTTCACAGATTTTTAACTGCACAATACAGTATTGTTAACTATAAGCACAATACTTATAGCAGGTCCTAATTTCTCCCTCCCCCAGCCCTTGGCAACTCCCATTCTACTCTCTACTTCTATGAGTTAGACTATTTTAGATTCCTCATATAAATGGGATCATGCATTTTTTTTCTTTTGTCCTTCTGTGTCTGGCTTGTTTCACTTAGCAAAATGTCCTCAAGTTCATCATCCATGTGGTCTCATATTATAAGATTTCCTTTCATTATATATATGTGCCACATTTTCTTTATCTATTCATTCATAGATGGACATTCAGATTGTTTCTACCTTTTGGTTTTGGTAAATAAAGCTGCAGTGAAGCTGGGGTCTCCTGTTTCTCAAGATGGGACAAACCCTAGGTATGATGTCCTTGTGGGATCAGGCTGAGCCAGACTCCAGCTGAGTTCACATCCTTGCCTGGCTCCTCCCTCCGCCTTATCCTGTTTACCTTACTCCCAGTCTCCTGAGAGTATTCCCTGATTGAATCACATGCGTTCAAATCCCCACTCTTCCACCAGCAGTGTTTGGGAATATCCATCCAAAGCCCTCTTCTGAACTGGCGGTATCCATCTTCTTCTATTTGCCAATCGGATAAGTGAAAAAGGGTGGCACACAAATTTTGCATTTCCTATTGCTAGTTATATTAACATTTTTATATGTTTATCACTTATTTCTTCTGTTAATGCTGTTCATATTCTTTGCCTGCATTTCCATTGGGCTGGATTTTTAGGAGTGCTATATATTATAGACAATAACTTTGTTATATGTGTATTAAATACTTCTTTCTAGCTAGTTGTCTTTTTCTTCTTTTTTTCAAACTTTATCATGTTGTTTACTCTACCAAGGTTATACTTTGAAAGACTAACCTTCCTTAAAAATTATATAGATGGTTCTCTTATATTTTTTCTGATATTTTTATAGGTTTGTTTTGTGTTTGTTTATTTGAGTGGTGATATGAGATAGGGGTAGGATGGTGATATCCTTATACTTGGACTTTTCTCTCCTTATCTTTAGCTATGGCTTTTAAACTCAGACAGTTTGGTGATTGAATCTTTGGCGAGTTCCAGAAGTGTCAAAAAGTTTCCCTTGTTGGAAGACATATCGAAGGCAGATTCCAGTTCTGCTCAGAATGCTGTCAAAGTCCTCTACCAGCCATGCATCAAAAGTAGGAATGAAAAGTAAGTTGTGCTCTTGTTTTCTCATTTCACATTATGTTTCCGTTTCTGTTGCCATGTTGGTGTTAAGAAATTAATGAATTAAATGCTACTGGACCACTTCCATACTTGAAGCTTCTTGGAGTCATACTCCTAAATGTTATCCTTTCAGAGTAGATTGAATTATTATAGATGATTCATGCTCATGTGCAGAAAGCTTGCTTCTACTGAAAACAATTGGTCTTTTCCTTATAATCTCAGCTGTCTCTACATATGGCTGCAGTACTAAATCAGACTCAACAACTATGAATATTTACTAGTACTGATAAGCAGTTTCCAGGCATTCGGGATACAAGAGCAAATAAAACACAGTCCCTGCCTCCTTGAGTTGTCATTCTAAGAGGGGGAAGGCAGATCATAAACAAAACAGGCAAAAATATCCAAGATTAATGTGGCCCTTACTATGAGACCAACTCTCATGTAAGGGCTTCTAGCTCATTTAAGTCTATCAGCACTCTGCGGGTAGATACTATTATCACCTCCATCTTCTACACTAATGAAAGAGAAAGATGCAAATTGACCGTAACTTCGCGACTCCCACCAGCCAATCAGGAGTGCGTATGAAAATTAACCCGACAAAGATGGTGGGTTAATTTGCATACACAGGCACTGAGCAGTGGGGGCGGGGCAGGGCCGCTCTGAGCCTCTGGGCAGCATGGGAAGGTGGAAAGGCGGCTCTGGGCCAGAGTGAAGGCAGAAAGGCAGCTCCGGGCCGTATGGAAGGCGGAAAGGTGGCTCCGGCCTGAGCGAAGGCGGTGCCGGCAGCCAGGGGAAGGAAGGCCCATTCTTGCATGAATCTTTGTGCATTAGGCCTCTAGTTTAGAGATAAGGATGCTAAGACACAGGTGTAAATAGCACAGCTAGTGAATATAAAGCTAGGTGAGGTAGTTGGGGAGTGGTAAAATGGGTGTGGGAAGGTTTTTCATTTTATATTGAAAAGGCAAGGACGGTTCCTCAGATTAAGATGATATTTAATTGGAAAACTTGAAGGAAGTTAGGGAGTGAGGCTTATTGGTGGGAAGGACATTCCCGGCAGAGGAAACAGAGTCTTCTTATTTGAACAGATTGGAAGTTATACTTGTCCTGTACTCTAAAATGGGTTCCATCAAATTTGTACCAGGAACAGAAAGGTCTCAGTCTTTTTCTGGGAAGTAAATAAGAAAATTTTAAAAATCATTGCTTGACTTTGAATTATGCAAGCAGTATAATCATAAAATATTCATACAGTAGAGACAAATATGAAGTCAAATATGGAAGTTCTCCATCCTTTCTCTTTCCAGAAGTAAAAAGTATGTTGTGTATTCGTCCTTTTCTTTTTTCCGTTATATTGTATTTTAACATAAGTTAAATGGTACATGTATATTTTTTTACACTTAAAAAAACACTGTGTCTTGGAGATTCTGTCTATGTCAGTGCTCAGCATTTTATGAAATGGATGTACTGTAAATATTTAATCATTTTTCTGTCGATAGATATTCGGGTTGTTACTTTTTTGCTGCTGTAGTTGGTACTGTCCTGTGTGTGTTGTACATTTGTTTTGTGATTATGTGTACTATTTTTGTAATAAGGATTTTTAAAAGTATAATTGCTGAGTCAAAGGGTGTGACATTTAAAATTTTGATAGATAATATCAAATTGTTTTGCAAAAAGATATTATGGATTTATATTCCCAACTGAAGTTTCTATAAATGCCCATTTTCCTGCACCCTCACTCAAACTGCCATTTAGATTTTTGCGCATCTGATGCCAGTCTAAATGAAATAGGTTCACTTGACTATCCTTGTGTTTTATTAATGCATGATCAGAGAATAAGGCTTATGTGTGTTTGATGCTTTGGGAACTTTGTTTAGCTCTGTGTGTGTGTGTGTGTGTGTGTGTGTGTGTGTGTGTGTGTGTGTGTGTTGTGTGTATTCTAATACATAGTAAACTTTTAAGTTGTTCATTGATTATATTCTTTATTCACTAGTGTGGATGTATGTCTGCCTTTATATATTTAGATTTATTTAGTCAAGTTTATTAAAACCTTTTTAAATCATCTTTTTTTTATTTATTTGAAATGTGAATTTTTCAGAAGAATGTGTTAAATCTCACTGTGAATATGGAAAAGTCATTTTCTTCTGGTTTTGATATCAGTTTTTGCATTATAGGGGTGGGCAGAAGTAGATTTGCAGCTGTACTTTAAAGCTCTGGGTATTAAGAAAAAGGAAGTGGGAGTAGATTCAGTTATGGTGGTGAACCTTGTATTCATTATTATGAAGAATCTTCGCACTGCCTTTCCTGAGGAGTGTTACAAGGATCATTACACCTGTCCCATTATTTCATTCATTCCTAACAAATCTCTGTGACATCAGAAATATAATGACTATTTAGGTTGTGTTCTCTTGTATTTGATTAGTGGACTCTTTATTTTTTAACTCCATATGTCTTGGGAATGAGTTGACATCCAATAAATGAGTTTGATTACTTTAGTTTGCCTGTTTCATATACTTTTGTTGTGCTTTTCCTCCAGCTACTGTGTGACTTGGTCCCCGCCCCCCCCACCCCCCAAGGTAGGAGGGGAATTTTGCCAAGTTGTGTAAGCATCCTGTGAGTTATTTACTTTTGTTTTCTGAGGACGATAGTTTCTTTCTTTTTGGGCATGACTGAAGAAGCCGTAGATTCCCTGGCATATTTTTGGTGCATGGGTTGGTGCATTAACTATTTTAGTCCAGTTGGCTAGAATTTTTCCTAGCGGAAGTATGGATTGCCAGATGGCAGTCTAAAAGAGGAAAACAGCAAATGTAACTAGGGTTTTATTTCCTTGAGCACTCACACAAAAAAGTGGCAGTAATATTTTTAGAATGTTCTTTCTTTCTAGCAATAGACACACATATCTCTTAACATTTTGAAATCTATTTTTTAATCTCTCCTTCCCTCACCTACAATTACCCTACAACTCACATTCTTTAGTTTGCATATCAGATTTAGATACTAAATATTACCTTTTTAGCTTTGGACTTAAAGTTAACTTTTGCAGTTTAATCTGCCAATTCATCAGTTTATCTGTGTCCTCATTCTCTAGTCTGGGGGTAATTTTCCCCTCAGGGGACATTGGCAGTGTCTGGAGACATTTTTGGTTGTTACAATTTGGGGGCGGGGACTACTGGCATCTAGTAGGTAGAGCCAGGGAAGCTCTTAAACATCTTACAATGCATTGGAGACCTCCTACAACAAAGGATTATCTAGCCCCAAATGCTAATGATGCCAAAAGTGGAGATACCCTAATCTAGATTATCTCCTAAAATCCAGCTGAGTTTATTTTATCCCTCTGGGTGTCATAGCTCAACATTTTCTTGAAATTGTATTTAGGCCTGCAAAGAAGAGAAATTTTACTGTGGCATGAGCCAAAATCTCTATAATCTTACATATTAACTTTGTTAGAAAATGTAATATAAATGTTTATTATTACACTTTTCTCTTTTTCTGTTAGGGAAACATGAAGAATAGATTTATTTTTATTAAATGATGAATTTTATAGGTATCAAGTCCTTTGTTCTCATATTTTTAAGAGAAAAGAACTAGGGGAATGTAATCAGTAAGTGTAAAGTATTGTTGTTATTGCTGTTTTTTAAGCTAAATTGAATTCTCTTCATTGTATAAGTTACACAAGTCCTAGTAGTGCTATTTGTTCTTCCCACCTTTTTCAAGAGATACCCAATTTAAGAATTCAGAGAATTTGAACTTAGAAGACCTATTCTATGTTCTTATATTAATAGCATTTTCTTGCAAAATATATTGAGGGAGGAAATGTTAAAGGTATGTCATATTCACCCCTAGTTGTAGTAGAATTTAGAGATTATATTTTATAAACTAACTAGGTTTCTCTCTGTTGGCTATATATAGGTAATTATTGCTTCTAAAACAGAAGTGTTATTTTTGCCCTAAGACAGTCATCATTATTGCTTTTTCTAATGAAATAAAAACAAATATAAGCCACATCCATACGCATTTCATATGTATAAAATAGTATTAGTGGTTGTTTTTATTTGTGAAGTTGTATTTCTTATCTTTTTATTTTTTTTATTTCAGCAAGAAATTGAAATTCTGTGTATTCATTGGGATAAAAACCACATAACATAAAATTTACCATCTTAACCGTTTTTTTTAAGTCTATAGTTTGATAATGTCAAGTATATTCACAGTAGAGGCCCAATGCATGTGCACTCGGCGGGGAGAGGGGAGGGTCCCTCAGCCCGGCCTGTACCCTCTCGCAGTCCGGAGCAAGCAGGGAGTGGGCCTAAGCTGTCAGTCGGACATCCTTAGTGCTGCTGTGGAGGCGGGAGAGGCTCCTGCCATCGTCAGCCATGAGCCCGGCTTCTTGGGGCCCTGCCCCCCGCCGGTCGTGATCGGGGCCCCAAAGCTGGGCTCACGGCTTCTGGCTGAGCATGAGCAGCACTCCCCCTATGGGAGGACACTGACCACCAGGGGGCAGCTCCTGCATTGAGCGTCTGCCCCTTGGTGGTCAGTGTGCGTCATAGTGACCAGTCATTCCACAGTTCGGTCGATTTGCATATTGGCCTTTTATTGTATAGGATTGTTGTAAAATATACCTCCAGAACTATTTCATCCTGCAAATTTGAAACTCTACACTCATTAAACACAACTCTTCTCTTCCTACTTTCCCCAATCCCTCTTATTTTTTGTTTTTATAAATTTGACTGTATTAGTCTGCTAGGGCTGCCATAACATAATACCACAGACTGGATGGCTTAAAAATTAACAGAGATTTATTTTCTCAGAGTTCTAGAGGCTGGAAGACCAAGATCAAAGTGTGTCAGGATTGGTCTCTGCTAAGGCCTCTCTTCCTGACAAATATCTTCTTGCTGTGACCTCACATGATCTCTCTTTGCTTATGGAGAGAAAGAGAGAGATCTCTTGTGTCTCTCTTCTGATAAGATAAGTAGTCTTATCAGATTAAGGTTTCA